TATCCAGGTTGTTATCGATCATGTGATCGATAAATACACTTCAGATTTACTTCTTTTTATCCGTTACTTGTTTGATTACTTTACATTATCGATCAAGTGTTCGATAATTAACTGTAAACTTGTATAACTTCTATGTTAGCGATAATCGATCATTTTATCGATCAATGGATTATCGAACAGCTTATCGATCAAAACATCTAATATTTTACTAATTTGCACTGAAGATTTATCTGACAGCTTATCGATAAACACTTGATCGATCAGATGATCGATCAACACACTTAACTGTTTTAATCTAACTTTGTTATCATCAAAACCATAATCCTAACAAAACCAATTATGTAATCTCATATAATTCTCAAAGAATATTATCCTTATTTTTTCTTAATTTTATGAGGTCTGAAATTATTTTTTACCAATTTTCCTTAATATGTCAAATTTTCATAATTAACTTGGAAAATAATTATTATTATTTTACACCAAAATTCTTCTATTTATCCTTATCATTTTTTGCCCTTAAATGTTTAGAAATATTCTGATTCCTAATTACCTTATTACTGGATGTGACAGCCATGACCTAGGTGCGAATATCAAGTGCTTAGGCACTGGTCCTTACCACTTGGATTAGCGCCTCAACATTGATTTGAGCAGCTGGGCAATGAAGCATACTCAAGTTTTCTTCTACCATCTTATACGTCATTCTAATATTTCCATACTACCAAACATCTGTAACCTTAAAGATAAAAGAATAACTAGTTTAATTACCCATATTCAAGCTTAAAATGTCTCTAAACCTTAGGATTAAAAACCTAGAATGTCGCAGTTGGTGATAGCTATAAAATCAGAAGCACAGTTTTGTCATTTTCAAAAGATACCCAAAGGTTTTGATGCTATTCATCATGATGATATTAAATTCCTAAATTCTTTGTTCCCTGATTGTTTTGCAGCAGTACAAGGAGCTTTTGTTAGCAAGTTATTTGCTAAAAAATTAAGAATATGAGATCAAAAAATATATATAATTATTGAAAAATATTGGACAATTAATTTGCAAATCAATTTAGTTTGAACCAATTTAGATTGATATCCTTATGGTTCTTTTTATCATGTTATACTTTCACTTGTTTTTAATTAGATCTTGCATTTATTTTTCTTTTTATTTGATTTTTATAGTTTAACCTGATTTTTAGTCAAGTCCCTAAATTCTTTTGAATTTTTTATTAATCTAATTTAAAATAATTATATGAATAATATTGAAATATAAAATATTAATAATAAAAAATAATGATGATAAAAAAAATAACTAATATAATTAATTACATAAACATGCTAATATGTTTGATTCAAAAATCTAAATAAATATTAAAATAAAATTATTCTAATAATATCTTATCATAGAATATTATTGTTTATAGGATAATATTAGATAATATTATATTTTATATTTATTGAAGTATATTATTATACTTTATAGAATAAAGAAAGAAATTTAAAGACATGATTAAAAATCAGGTGAAACTATAAGGATTTGCTAACTCAACATATTTGGTCAACTAATAGTCAAATTTAATCCGAATAATGGATGGAATGAAATTGCTATGATTTGAAAAATTTTAAGGTGAAATTGAATCCAAAAGAACTTTTCAATATCCAATGCTTCTTGGTGAAAACTTTTTAGGGTAAATTTGCACTTTAACTCTTTTTATTATTAATTTTTATATTAAAAACATATTTTTTTTATAGATATTAAAAATGTATCAAATATTTGAAATTTTACCCTTATTAATTACTAATGAGCAACTGTGAGAAACAGAATGACACAAAAGAGATGAAAGGAGATAGGATACACATGGTAACACTCTACAAGTATTGTATTCTTCATTGACAATTAGAATGAACAGTATTGGTCCAATAAATAGGCATTAGAGCCCAATACAAGTGTGCCATGTAGAGATACAGTAAAGTCCTAGAACAATACATATTTGGACTATTTGGGCTTGAGTGTATATTGGGCTTCAATACTTCCCCGCGAGTGGAGCTAGGCTAGAAGCATAGTGAGACTCGAACGGTGCTGATGAAAACTGGAAGGAGATAAAGGCTTGGTGAGTATATAAGCAACTTGGTCCTTGGAGGAGATATGAAAGACACGAAGTAATCCAACAACAAGTCTTTCACGGACAAAGTGATAGTCTAGTGCTATGTGTTTTGCTCTTGAATGGAAAACAGGATTTGCAGTTAAGTAGGTAGCACCAAGATTATCACAGTAAAGCAGGGGAGGTTCAGGTAGGGAGATATGTAATTCATAAAGTAGATTTTATAGCCAGATCAGTTCACTGGTAGCAGTAGCAATTGCTTTATACTCAGCTTTGGTGCTTGATCGTGCAACAGTGGGTTGTTTCTTAGAGCTCCAAGCAATAAGGTTAGGACCAAGATAGATAGCAAAGGCACCCGGGGACCATGAGTCATCAAAATTACCACCCCAGTCAGCATCAGTGAAGGCAGAGATAGTTAATGAGGAAGAGGGTCAAAGATGAAGTGCATAATGGGAGGTGCCATGTAGATATCTTAAAATTCTTTTAACAGCCGTCCAGTGATGATCTTTGGGATTGTGCATGAATTGGCAAACTCAATTGATAGCAAAGGTGGTATCAGGTCTGGTGAAGCTAAGATATTGAAGGCTGCCGACTATGCTCCTGTAAAAATGAGGATCAAAGTAGTCATGATCACTATGGGTAGAGAGCCTTGTGTAGGAGGACATAGGGGTGGTAACGAGACGAGCACAAGACATTTTGGCTTTGGAGAGAAGATCTAAGATATATCTCCGTTGAGAAAGAAGAAGACGAGAGGCGGAAGGAAGAACTTCAACACCAAGAAAGTAATGAATGGGGCCGAGATTTTTGACAGGGAAAAAGACACTGAGAGCAGAGATTAAGGATTGAACAGCTTCAGAGGAGGAACCAGTGACAATAATGTCATCAACATAAACCAAGACATAAATAGTGCATTGAGAATTACGGCAGATAAAAAGAGAGGAGTCAGACTTAGATGCAGAAAAACCCAATTCAAGTAATTTAGAGCTTAAACGAGCAAACTAAACTCAGGGAGCTTGTTTGAGACCATAGATAGCACGATTAAGTTTACAAACATGATAAGGATAATAACGAAACCAAGGGGTTGGTGCATGTAAACATCAGCATCCAAAAAACCATGAAAAAAAAGCATTTTAAATGTCATTCTGGTTAATAGTCTAGCCTTTTAAAATAGCAATAGATAAGATAAGGCGGACAATAACAGGCTTCACCACAGGAGAAAAGGTGTCCAAAAAATCTATACCCAGTTGTTGATGAAAGCCTTTGGCCACAAGGCGAGCTTTGCATTTGTCCAGGTAACTGTGGACCAGAAATTTGTTTGCGAAAAACCCACTTGCAACCTACAATGTTCATGGAGGTTGAGAAGGGAACAAGAGACCATGTTCAGTTAGATTTGAGCACATCGAACTCGGCCTGGAGTGCTTGAGTCCATTGAAGTGATTTGAGAGCTTGAGTGATGGAGGTGGGTACGACGGGTGGAGAAGACGAGGTTAACGAGGCAATGTGGGCACGTGGTCAGGCAGAAGAGACAAATTTGGGTAGGAGAGGTTTAGGCTTGAAGATGTTAGCCTTGGAATGCGTGATCATAGGATGAGAAGGGGGAGGAGGAAGCAGCGCCAGTGTAGGTGTGGTGGAGGCCGAGGAAGTGTCAAAGGAAGAAGACGATAAGGGTGAAGGAGTAGCGTGAAGTGGCGGGTAAGGAGAAGGTTTGGGGAGAGAGCCAAGGGTTAGGAGAGAGATATGGGCCTAGGTTCAAGGAAATGGACTAGTGAAGTAGAGGAGGCAGATTAGTAGTGGTAGGAAGGATGGGCTCAATTTGTGGGCCTTGGTTGGAAAAAGGATATAGATATTCATCAAATATAACGTCCCTGGACATATAGGTTTAGTCTGTGGGAATATGAAGACAAAGATAACTGAGATGGTTGGGAGCATAGCCAATAAAGACGCACAAAAGAGATCTGGGAGCAAGTTTGTGGGGCATATAAGGCCGTAAATTGCGCCAACAACCAGTGCCAAAAAATTTTAGCAAGTTATAGTCCGGTTTGGCTTTAAATAGCAATTCAAAAGGACTTTTTCCATTGAGCACTTTATTGTATCTCTATGTGGCACACTTGTATTGGGTGCTAATGAGGAATACAATACTTGTCGAGTGTTACTATGTGTATCCTGTCTCCTTTCATCTCTTTTGTGTCGTTCTGTTTCTCACATTTGCTCATTATGGTATCAGAGCTATAGCCCCAGTTGCTTAAAATGTCTTAGTCTCCTTCTCCAATCGTCTCTTCCACCACCATACCACCACACACACCATCGTCCTCTCTCACCACCATGTCTACACCACCTTCCCATCTTCCCTACTATGTCACCACTAAGCTTACCGAAGAAAACTACCTCATCTGGAAAGCTCAAATCATACCCTATCTTTATGGACAGTAGCTATTTAGGCTTGAGTGCATATTGGGCTTCAATAATTACCTCTCGCACATAGGGTTTCAAAAGCAAATTATGCAATTAACATGAAAGGAAACAAAAGTAGAGTTGAAAAAATTTTGTTCCATTAATTTTGAGGTTATGTCTAGCCTTATAACTCTAAATTTCAAGGACTATTAATTTGGGGCCTATGCCATATATGCACAGTAGCAAAATGTTACACGGAAGAAGATATCCAATAGCACTAGTAATTAACAACTAAAACCAAGCTTGTTAACTAAGCAAGTTTTATACGTCATTTATTTTATGACCGCAATAGTAAAAAAAAACATATGCATCAATGTCATTCACACTTAGTTCAATGCAAAAGCATATATGCATTATTATCATTCACAATGTTTTAAAAAACATAAAATATATCCATCACTTCATCACAAGCACATCATAGCATTATAAGAGGATTACTAAGTATAAGAGTGATGATTTTCAGTGAGCTTCAACCACAGTAGTACTCATCTTATTAACTGAATTAACTCCTTTACTAATTGATGGATTTGAATCATAATACTTATTTTTCTTGAAAAGAAATGCCGGTTGCTTTGGAGGGGGAAGAGTCGAGTCATTATCCAACATGAAAACAACTTCTGACATGGTAGGCCTATCTGTTGCATATTCTTGCTCACATAGAAGCCCAATCTGGATGCATTTGAGAACTTCATGTTCAGGGCATGTTTCGCCTAGTAATGATGGATCAACAATTTCCATAGCTCGACTTTCTCTCCAAAGATTCCAAATCTGAAATGATTGAATTCATTAAGTAGACTATTAGAAAGGAACAAACTTGACTCAAGTTGTTCATTATTTGTACTTATATGTCCAACAAAAGTACAAGTAATGTCATCATAATGACCATTATTCTTCCTGCTAGTAACAATTTCCAAAAGTAAAACTCCAAAACTGCATGCATCTGATTTTATTGAAAAAATTCCTTCCATTGCATATTCAGATGACATATAACCACCGCAACAGATTAATAAAATTTGTTAATCATCATTTCAACTAGAGATGCTTCATTTTATAGCGTTGAATTGTTTTGTTTGCATTTCTAGCATATTATGTCATATGAATATATTGACTTTGAATTTGAATGGTGTCACATCCTGAGAAATTTTACCTGGACATAGGAAGTTAAAAATTGGAATAAGGTCTAATATAGAAACTAGATGGGGAGACAAAATAACTTTTGAGGTAAAACCCTGATGAGGTCTGGGCTGGTATTTTCGTAATTATCAGTTTAGGAAAGGCAAAATGGGAAATTTGGAGAATAATTTTAGAAAATTCCCGAAAAATGGTAAAAGTATAAGTTAGAGGTTTTAGAAACTTGGTTGAGGCCCAAAAGGTGGAATTATTGTGAAAATAAATTGTTACGGAATTTCCCGCAAATGGAGGTTTTTGGGAAAATACTGGGAAATCGGAGGAAAATAATTATTTTAATTAGTTAAAGGCCTCAATAATTCTAAAAAAATATGAAAAAAATCATCTAAATATTTATTTGAATTTATAAAATTGGTTTTAGGCCTTGAAAGTCCAGGAATTAATTTTAGGGAATTTATTTTCCTACAGTAACACCAATAGAGGCCTAATCGGAGAAAATTTAAAATAAATACCTAGAGGAGGCAAAAAATTATGAAAATTTTCAGACCATGTTCTCATATTAAAAAGTGAATTATCATGAAGAGAAATAAATTTTTGGAGGTCTATAAAAGTTATGAAATGTTACTAGTGAATAGTAACTGATAAAGTTTCGGAATGGTTTGGGATTTTGATTTGGATTGTGGGCTATCTTTTTGGACCAGCCTAAACAATTTGTGAGGCCCATATTAGGCCCAATTCAAGCCCAATTTCGTGCTTCTTCTAGAAAGCTCTATTTTTAATTAAATAAAATGCAAAATTAAGGGATAATTGTTGGAATAATCTAGAGCTTGGACATATGGATAGATCTGAAGCTATGAGGCATTTGATGGCTGCCAAATCACCTTATTTCAGCCATTTTGGATGTCCAAAAATCAGAGGGGAAAGGCAGCTTGGTTTTTCTATAAATATCCCTTCCTAAAATACAAGAAAATGTTGGAAAAATTGGAAAAAAGAGGGGAGGTGCTGCCATTTTCATTTTTGACCAAGGGAGATTGAATTTGTGGAGGTTTTGGATAAGGAATCATTCAAGTTACATCAAAAAAGCATCAAGGTATGCTTAAACCCTCTTATCATTAAATTTCAAGCTAGTTTAGTTAGATTTTTGGCTTGAAATTCCAAGGCTAGATGCTACCCCATTTCAACGATCGTGGAAGGTTTATGGAAGGATAGAAAACCTTAAATATCAAGTGGAATAAGCTTGTTCAAGTTGTATATGGAATGGTTTTTGAAAGAAAATATACCTAGGGTTCTATATGTTCATTTTAGCCAATGGGGTGTTCTTGCTGGAGGAGTTTGTTTTGCATTAATTTGATGATTCTAATGGGTTTAAAATATGTTTTTTGTGTAGGGATATACTAAAGGGAAGTGTGTAAAATCATTAGAATCAAAAATGAAAATTTTGGAAGCTTAAAACCCCCTATTCGGGCAAGAGTAATTCATGAGGAAGAAGTTTGATTTTCAAAAATATGATTCCATATTTGAATTCCTCATGAAAAATTGTGTAGGAATGAGTCATGATGTTCTTGATTCTTAAGGAGGAATTATTTTGTTAAAAATGCAAGAAAAATGGGGAAAATGTTAAGTTAAAGAGAAAGTGTTATGTTTAAGTGGTTTGGCTATTAATGTTGCCTATTTTAATGCTTGATTTAATAGGCTTTGTGAGAAGGAATCGATGAGGATCATTATCCCTTAAGGAGACCAAATTAATCAAGTGATAAAAGGTAGCATTGAATTATAATTTGATTGTTTATCTTGTTTGTTTATTGTGATTATGTTGATTACTTGAGTTGAAGAATTTATACGGTGATAATGGTTGACTTTATGACATTTGTTTGTGCTTTGGCCAAATGCATAGAAATATGTCCATGTGAAATTGTTGATGTTCCTCTTTTGGTATCATGCCATATATGATTTTATGTGACTTGAGGATATTTGAAGTTTTATAACGTGTCACATTATACTTGCTTGATTTACTTGACGATTGTAATTCATTGCTTCTGAGATTTCAATGAAATCTAACTCCCCTCAATGTATAAATAGTAATAGGAATCTCAGATGTTGTCACTGAGAGCAAGAAGAAAGAAAAGGGATTCACTTGGAAGAGGAGGAAGTATATTGTTGTTGAAATAATACTATGTAATTATATGCATTGTTATGTGCATGTATGAAATTATATCGAATTGTTGTATCAGTGATAAGGGTGCTTTACATGTGAATAATTGGTTAAGGAATCATGATTAAACATGTGTCATATCATTAGAAAAGCTAGATGAAAGGAAAAGAAAAAGAAAAGGCAAGAATGGTATAGAAAAAGGATAAAGGTTGACTTTTTAGGAGCAAAGTTTGAGGTTGACTTTTTAGGAGCAAAGTTTGACCAAGTAATTTTGAGTAATGGGATGAATTTCGATTTGAAACATGGCATGCCTATAGATCTCATTTTTATCTCTAAAACAAGTGGTAATTTATTAAATTTGAAGTTTTCTATAGAAAGTACCCTTCCAAAGTTGGGCATAAATCCTGAAAAATTAAAAAATGACCAAATGAATAGTGCCACTTTGAGTGAAATCTGGGACTGATGCATGAGATCTAGATACCAATGACTATTTTTCCTTTAAAGAGCATGTCAAGAGCTTTTCATAGAACTTGGAATCACTCCGTTTCAATTTTTCTACAATTAGTTGTGAATTTTTAAAGCTGGCTCAAATTGCTGTGAATAGTGTACAGAAATCCGAAAATGGAAATTTTAAAGTTGAAATTCTTTTACCCTTCAACCTTGTATGATGACTTTAAATGGTTCCAATGGATATTAATAAGGTAATAAAGGAGGTGTGATAAATAGGCTGGAATAAATCACAAACCTATCTAGCTTATGTTGAAATGTTATTTGAGTAAAAAAATGGATTTGTCTAGCATCAAAATTTACATTATTTAGATATAGATATTGCATATATGTAGAAAATCATTGCCAACGAAATACTAGTGTAACTTTACTAGTATTTTTCGAACTTGTGGAAACTAGGAATGTGTACGTGTAATGCAATGCTAGATAACTGAAGTGATATAAGCTATCGAGTACTTACTAAGTTCTAACAACACGGTTTGTGATTGCTTCAGTTTGGTTTCCACCAAATATTCTTGCCATACCAAAATCTGCAATTTTTGGGTTCATTACAAGATCCAACAAGACATTGCTAGCCTTTAAGTCTTTATGAATTATTCTTAATATTGAATCTTGAAAAGGGTATAAAATTCCTCTTGCAACTCCACAAATGATGTCAAATCTTTTCCTCCAATCTAACTTTGGCTTGTTTGCTTGATCTAAATAAAAGTGGTAAACTATATATTAAAAGTGAAGAATGGTGCAAGATCAATTCTCTCTTTTTCCAAAATTGAAAAATTTGACAACAAATTTTGTATATATAGAAAAATTAAATGATAAGGAGGCATGCCAAAGATGAAAGAGTCCAAGCTTTTGTTTGGCAAATATTCATATACCACCATCTTTTCTTCTCCATCTACGTAACAAGCTAAGATCCTTACAAGATTTCTATGTTGAAGCTTTGCAATTAAAGTAACCTCATTCCTGAATTCTTCAATGCCTTGTCCAGAATACCTTGATAGCCTCTTAACTGCTATTTCCATTCCATCTTCAAGTAGACCCTGATGTCAAGAGCCATAATTTAATTCATGAATGTATGCATTTCATCTTTGTTGTATGAAACCATGACTATAAATTATAAGCTAATGGCAATGAAAACAATGTTAATCCAATTTATGAAATTTCAGACTATTTATACATAGAACATCTACCTTGTATACTAAACCAAAGCCACCTTTTCCAAGCATATTAGCATCTGCGAAATTGTTTGTTGCCTCAACGATGTGCTTTTGGTCAAACAGAGTTAAATTGGAGTCGTCTTCTCCTTCAAAAAAAAAAAATTCTTTGTGCATTCTTTTTGCTGTGTGAAATAAAAATTGAACAAAAAACAACGCTAGAGATGAGTTGTAATACAGCCAATTAATCACTACTGCAGATTGAAAAGACAAACCTTCTAGTCGGTATAGATTGTCCTAACTCAACAACTTCATTTGTGGGGCAAAAAGATAGAAATAAAACTCACCTTGATTCCTGTTCTTTATTACAAACTAACATAAGGAAGAGATCAACAGGAACGTTATCAAGCAAAAAGAAATGACGATGAGGGTCACCATCCCCTTCTTGCCAAGAGAACCATAATGCTTTTTTTCATATCTAGCTGCAAACAATAGGTCACCAAAGAGGAATTTAAGTTCAAGCAAATAATATAAGCTTAAAATGTTTTTTTTTCCCCGCATGAATTATCATGATACTTATGAGAGCTTATAGTGTTAAATTGTTGGCGGCAAGGTCAGTCAATTTTGTGTCTCCCCAGAACATACAACGACGTTACATGAGAACCTGTGAGATATAGAAGTCATCCTAACTATGTGATATATATATATATATATATCTCTCTGTGTGTGTATTATCTGAGAGAAGTTAAATGAATATGCTCTCGCCAGTGTGGGAAAATGATACTTCTTACAATAGAGCACGCTGTGTATAGATTTAAAGATCCATCTATCCATAGGCTTTGATAAAAACGCTTCTTTATTTTGAATTTGTGCCCAAAACGTTCAGCTTCAGGCTTGAAGCCTCAAATGTGCATTCCTCTAATACTTTCCTCTAATGCTCTCTATTGTCTATTATGATATCCTAATTTTGCAAATATTTTATTTTGAATTTTTCTTTTAATGATTCAATTTTACATAAAATTAGTGACATACTGATATCTTGAATAAAAAAAATAGTGCCATTTTAAAATTTTTATGATTTTTCAAAAACATTTTTTTGATTTTGAGGCACATTAAGGGTTGGGAGGCTGGGACATCACGAAAGATGGCAAGGGGAGACACATTAAAGGCCCCAAACCTTCCGCTTCAGACTATTTATCTTCCCAATTTGTGCCTCATATATAAGTTTTCTCAATTTGATCACTTGCAGATACAATCATTATCAATAATGATATTTGGCTAATATATCATCAATATAAATAATAATCAGTCTGCATGTCATAAAATGTTATAAAATGACAAAAATAAATTTTACAATTCAAGTAAATAAAATACTAGTCTCATTAACTAATCTCTTAAATTTAAAAAATAATTAATATTAATTAAATGAAGAAAAATTTTAGAGAAAAGGGCATGTTTCAAAAAGAAATAAATTATTTAATTTTTTAATTTGTAAATAGTTTTTATTAAAATTAAATAATATGATCACAAATAAACATATTACATTCATGGTACTAAAAGTTCTTTTCAAAAGTAAAGAATGTACCCAATTCATTTGCATCCACACGCACATACAAATCTTGGCCCACATTTTCCAATTTCGAATGTTATGATGTCTTCCATATCAGCATGCCATGTCAAACATCCACTTTCTTTGACCTCATCCGCATTCGTATACGCTACACACGAACAATCCCTCAGGTACTTTTCCTCACAACTTTTCAAGTTCATACCCTCGCTCTTATCCACAGGTGCCTTTGATGTATCTGGCACCTTCACATGTGCCACTTTTACAAACCCCTCCCCGCTACGACACGTGGACACATTCTTCTTTCTCACACACCCACTTGACCCATTTCTCATATTCCACTCAAATGGGTTCATGGGTTCGAATCCGGGCAAGCATACACACTCAAACTTGTTCATATTATATGGGTTACACTTAGTATTCAACCCACACCGACGATAGTGGTCACAGTCCTCTGTCAGACCATACCAAACTTGGAGCCAATTATTCTCCTAGCTCGCCAAATAGTTCGTGTCTCATGACCAGTGTTGTCTAGCACACATAAAAGCTGAATCTGGATGCTTTTCAGAACTTCATGTTCAGGGCATGTTTCATCTAGTAATGATGGATCAACAATCTCCATAGCTCGACTTTCTTTCCAAAGATTCCAAATCTGAAATGATTGAATTCATTATTAAGTAAGTAGACTATTAGAAAAGAACAAACTTAATTCAAGTTGTTCATTATTTGTACTTACATGTCCAACCAAAGTAGAAGTAATGTCATCATAATGACCACTATTCTTCCTGCTAGTAACAATCTCCAAAAGTAAAACTCCAAAACTGTACACATCTGATTTTATTGAAAAAATGCCTTCCATTGCATATTCAAGTGACATATAACTACTGTGAAAGGTTAATGAAAATTTTCAATCATCATTTCAACTAGAGATACTTAATTTTGTAGCGTTGAATTGTTTTGTTGTTATATCTAGCATATTATGTCATATGAATATATTGACTTTGAATTTGAATGGGCTGGAATAAATCACAAACCTATCTAGCTCGTGTTTAAATGTTATTTGACTAAGAAAAATGGATTCGTCTAGCATCAAAATTTACATTATTTAGATATAGATATTGAATATATGTAGAAAATCATTCACAACGAAATATTACTTCAAAATGTAGCTTTTACTAGTATTCTTCGAAGTTGCGGAAACTAGAATGTGTACGTGTAATGCAATGCTAGTGAACTGAAGTGATATAAACTATTGAGTACTTACTAAGTTCCAACAACACGGTTTGTGTTTGCTTCAGTTTGGCCTCCACCAAATATTCTTGCCATACCAAAATCTGCAATCTTTGGGTTCATTGCAAGATCTAACAAGACACTGATAGCCTTTAAGTCTCTATGAATTATTCTTATTCTTGAATATTGATGAAGGTATAAAATTCCTCTTGCAACTCCACAAATGATGTCAAATCTTTTCCTCCAATCTAAGTGTAGTTTGTTTGCTTGATCTAAATAAAAATGGTAAACTATATATTAAAAGTGAAGAATGGTGCAAGATCAGTTCTGTCTTTTTTCCAAAATTGAAAATTTTGACAATAACTTTTATATATATGGAAAAATTAAATGATAAAGGAGACATACCAAAGATGAAAGAGTCCAAGCTTTTGTTTGGCAAATATTCATATACCACCATCTTTTCTTCTCCATCTACGCAACAACCTAAGATCCTCACAAGATTTCTATGTTGAAGCTTTGCAATTAAAGTAACCTCATTCCTGAATTCTTCAATGCCTTGTCCAGAATACTTTGATAGCCTCTTAACTGCTATTTCCATTCCATCTTCAAGTAGACCCTGATGTCAAGAGCCATAATTTAATTCATGAAGCTATGCATTTTATCTTTGTTGTATGAAACCATTACTATAAATAATAAGCTAATGGCATTGAAAACAATGTTAATGCAATTTATGAAATTTCAGACTATTTATACATAGAACATCTACCTTTATATACTGAACCAAAGCCACCTTTTCCAAGCACATTAGCATCTGCGAAATTGTTTGTTGCCTCAACTATGTCCTTTAGGGCAAACAGAGTTAAATTGGAATTGTCTTCTCCATCAAAAAAATATTCTTCGGGCATTCTTTTTGCTGAGTGTAATAAAAATTGAAAAAAAAACGTAAGAGATGAGTTGTAATATAGCCAATTAAGCACTACTGTAGATTGAAAAGACAAACCTTCTAGTAAGTTTATGTGCAGTGTATAGATTGTATTAACTCAAGAAATTCATTTGTGGGGAAAAAGATAGAAATAAAGCTCACCTTGATTCCTTTTCTTTCATACAAGCCAACATAAGAAAGAGATCACCGGGAACGTTATCAAGCAAAAAGAAATGACTATGAGGGTCACCATCCCCTTCTTGCCAAGAGAACCATAATGCTTCCTTTCATATCTAGCTGAAAACAATAGTTCACCAAAGAGGAATTTGAGTTCAAACAAATCATATTAGCTTTAAATGCTTTTTTTTTTCCGCATGAATTATCATGATACTCCTGAGAGCTTATAGTGTTAAATTGTTGGCGGTAAGGTCAGTCAACTTTGTGTGTCTCCAAAACATACAACGAGGTTACATGAGAACCTGTGAGATAAGTCATCCTAACTATGTGATGCGTGTGTGTGTGTTATCTGAGAGAAGTTAAATGAATATGCTCTCACTAGTGTGGGAAAATGATGCTTCTTATAATAGGGCACCCAGTATGTAGATTTAAAGATCCATCTATCCATAGGTTTGGATAAAGACGCTTTATTTTGAATTCGTGCCTAAAACGTTCAGCTTCAGGCTTGACCTCAAATGTGCATTCCTCTAATACTCTATTATCTATTATGATATCCTAATTTTGCAAATATTTTATTTAATTTTTCTTTTGATGATTCAATTTTACATAAAATTAGTGACATACTGATATCTTGAATTAAAAAAGAAATAGTGCAATTTTAAAATTTTTATGATTTTTCAAAAAACAATTTAAATTTTGAGGCACATTAAGGGTCGGGAGGCTGCGACATCACAACAGATACCAGGGGGAGACACATTAAAGGCCACAAACCTTCCGCTTCAGACTATTTATCTTCCCAATTTGTGCTTCACATATAAGTTTTCTCAATTTGATCAGTTGCAGATATAATCTATCAATAATGATAATAGGCTAAAATATCATCAATATAAATAATAATCAGTCTGCATGTCATAAAATGTTATAAAATGACCAAAATAAATTTTGCAATTAAAGTAAATAAAATACTATTCTCATTAACTAATCTCTTAAAATTAAAAAATAATTAATAGTAATTAAATGAAGAAAAATTTTAGAGAAAAGGTCATGTTTCAAAAAGAAATAAATTTTTTAATTTTTTAATTTCGTAAATGGTTTTTATTAAAATTAAATAATATGATCTCAAATAAACATATTACATTCATATTACTAAAAGTTTTTTTGTCACTATTAAAGTAGTTATATTTAATTTTGTACTGTTAATAACAAAAACCAAAAAGAAGTGAAAGTAAAGAACGTACCCAATTCGTTTGCATCCACACGCACATACAAATATTGGCCCACATTTTCGAATGTTCTGATGTCTACCATATCAGCATGCCACGTCAAACACCCACTTTCTTTGACCTCATCCGCATTCGTGTACGCTGCACACGAACAATCCCTCAGGTACTTTTCCTCACAACTTTTCAAGTTCATACCCTCGCTCTTATCCACACGTGCCTTTGATGTACTGGCACCTTCACATGTGCCACTTTCACAAAACCTTCCCCGCTACGACACGTGGACACATTCTTCTTCCTCGCACACCCACTTGACCCATTTCTCATATTCCACTCATATGGGTTCATGGGTTCGAAGCCGGGCAAGCGCACACACTCAAACTTGTTCATATTATATGGGTCACACTTACTATTCGACCCGCACCAACGATAGTGGTCACAGTCCTCTGTCGGACCATACCAAACTTGGAGCCAATTATTCTCCTTAGCTCGCCAAATGGTTCGTGTCACATGGCCAGTGTTGTCTAGCACCGTTATTAAGAATACTGAAGGGCCCATGACTCGGGTCACAGCGCTAACATCATTGGCATTGTCAATATAAGTGACGTTGAAGATGAAGTTGGGCGTCATTTGTGGTATTCCACTAAATCTCTGACCCGTCCAAGACCAGCCTCGCCAAAATGGAGCTCCATTTTTAAGCGAGAACACTTGAGGATAACCTGTTGGGTCGATTATGTGAGTCGCGTCCCCCATTGCTGGGTCGTCTGGGGATTTCCACGATGTCATGGACCAATTAAAACCAGTTCTCAGGTCCACCCCAATTTTCATGAACGGAATCGTGTGTCACCAGGGTAGTCAAAACTCTGCCATATTGGCCTCCCTTTATTCCTGATTAAAACCAAGTTTCCAGTGTCCTGAAGCTCGGCAAAGGTGTGATCACTAAAAGATGAGAAAGAAACATTGGAAGACCAAATGGGGGTATTCCTATATAAATCAGTATCATTGTAAACGAGAACGATGTTTCCATGGACATCAATCGGCAAAACTCCAGAAGTGTTATTGAGAGGAGTCTGTCTATTAGCAACCCACACAACAACTGGTTTAGAGGATCTTGCAAACCATATTCCAACGTAGCGCTTTCTTGAATTGTTGCTAGGGGTGAAAAAATCGAGGGCATAGATTCCTCCATCTGAGAGCAAAGCATCGCCGTCTTTGAGGGGCCGGCTTGGAGTTATTCTATGAAGGGAATGACAAGAAGAATGAAGCACCAATAGAAGAAACAATGGAACATTTATCAGAACTAGGGCTTTCGCAGAATAAGGCTCATGGTGGTAACGGAGCAAGGGATAAAGCTGGGGCTAAATTTGTCAAGTCGGTTATACTGTAGCTGAGTTAAAAGGACACAGATGTTTATAAGACCTCTTAACATGTTAGATACGCATCTGGTACTTAATATAAAAGCTATTTAACTAATTTGATTAGATTAAGGAAGTTAGGTAAGTTAATTATAAGAAATATGACATGTTTTTTTTTAAACATCATAATCATCTATCTTAATATCCTCCTTCATTCTTCTACTTAATTATGATTGACGGAGTATCCATAGAGATAATTTAGAAAAAACTGATAAATATGATAAATAGGTATTATATTTAGGAGTATATTGGTTAGGTGAGTCGTCCAAAAGGTATAGGACTGTTTGCATTAAGTTCCTTTTGTTTGTGCAGTGTAGTCCTACTGAACAACGTTAGTTTGCGGGTCCAGATTGTTGAAGAGTCACGAAGGGCATGTAATTTAGACTACTTTGCGTGGGTAGTAAGGCTTTGAGGTCCCCCTCCCCCAAGTAAATGAAAATTATACGACTTTCTTAGCAATGCAGGAATTAGACCTATTTTACGTGTCTTTAGAGAAACCAGGACTAAAAAAAAAAAAAAAAATTCTAACATGATGCTTGACCAATTTGCAGAGAGACTTTTACAATTTAATGCGATGGCTGTCATGGGAAAAATGAGGACTGCGTTTCCTTGCTCAGTGGGAGATGAACACCAATGGCTCATCTCCCAGTGTGTACCATTTCATTAAGCAAAGAGTATAACCTATATATTCCCAAACCACATCACTTCTGTTGTGCTCTTAGGGAAAAAAATTTTCCGTGCTAGCCGTCACAAGAGAAAGAGAATTAACACACTTGGTGCCATTGAAAATTGGAGAAAAGTTGAATTTCAGTGCAGAAAAAATTTCAAATTGAAGAAGGTATCGAATTTCAAACCTTTACGAGAAGAAGGCATCAAAGGATTCTTATCTTGATTTCTTTTTGCATTCTCTAACAATCTTATTGATATATATATTTTCATATATATTAAAATGGAGTCAAATGCAGGTTGTTATTGTTGTTGTTATATATAACTGCAATTTAAAGTGGGTTTAGATGGTTTTGTTTTCTCAACGAGATTAAAGAATAGAAGCAAAGAATACATCCAGAGTAAAATTGTAGCAACGTAGTATTATTTGGGAGGTTTCTAAGTTATCAGTACAATTTGGGCTGAAATAATATTCACCTAGGAGCACAGCAGAAGCGACTTGGTTTTTTTTTTTTTTTTTAACCAAAGAAGCGACTTGGTTTGGAAATATATACGTTATGCTCTTTGCTTAATGAAATGATGCACATTGGGAGATGAGTCATCAGTGCTCATCTCCCGCCGAGCAAGGAAACGGGTCCCGGAAAGTGATGGTATCATTGAGATAGAGACACATCCGAAAATTTCGGTATGGCACTGTGAAGACTTTCTCGTATTGATGTGGCCAAAGCTAAAAGTCGTTGGTCTTCATTCTTCCCCATGAGACTTTTGGCATTGTTGTTGAGGTCTGAATAAAATTCCAGAAAAATATCTTTGCACTGTTTGAGAAAAATATCTAGAGCTAGGCGAACATATATATATATATCCATTATTTTACTATACACACATGTACAAAGAGTAAGAAATAACATCAGTCACCTGGAATTTAATTATAATTTTTGGAACTTAATTGATATAATTTTTTTAAGATACTTATTTATAGTTTCTTTCTTTTTTTTTTTGGGTAATTGTCCAACTAACTAACGTTAAAAATAATTTATATTTAATAGTAGCAATATTGCATCCTTTTTAATATTTAGAGTTAAAATGGTAGACATAAAACTATGAATATGGGAAAGAGTTTAAATGCTCATCTTAAAGCACTCAGAGCTTATCTCTTTAGGACTATCGAAATGAGATCTAAAAAATCCAGATTTAATTTCTTTATTTATTTTTAAATAATTATTTTGATGGGTATAGATTCTAAAATAAAAATGATCTCTTAACTATCATTTTTTTAAAAAATAATTTGTGCTATATAAAAATAATTAATTAAAAAGATTAAATCTAAACTATTTAAATCTCTGGAGGGTTTAAATGAGATGAGTTTTACTGATTCCATGAATGTTCACCTAGACGCCTTAGATATTTTTCTCAAACAGTGCAAAGATCTCTCCTAATAGTTCAATTCAAATACTAACGACTTTTACTTTTGGCAAGATGAAGACCAAAAGAGTTGAACAATTCCA